AGTAATAAAAGATAATTTTACTGAAGCTAGAACAATTTTATCTCTAAGTAATTAATCAACTTTGATTGTTGATTTGACTTTTTTCAAGCAGATCCAAGCAAGTATGTCCTCAGACCTTCTTGTTCATAATATTAAAAACAATTCTTCTAAGTCTCAAGATACTTTCAAGTTTGAGTTAAAAGAGAACCTACTCTATTTGAAGGATGTTTATATGTTCCAAAAGGAGAAGCACAATTACATGCTCTTAAAGCTTCTCACAATTTCTTTGCAACAGGATATTTTGGATATAATAAGATTTTGGAACTTATATCTAGAGATTTTTGGTGGCTTCAAATGTTGAAGGCTATTAAAGAATTTGTGCAGACATGTGATGTTTGTTCAAGATCAAAAACTCCTTGTCTTCGACTTTATGGACTCCTCCAACCATTACCTATACTAGAACAACTATGGTCTTCTATCTCTATAGATTTTATCACGGATCTTTTGATTTCAAGTTCATATGATGCCATATTCATGATTGTAAATCGTTTCACTAAAATGGCTCATTTTCTACTATGTAAAAAATCTATCACATATAAAGGAACAACTAAATTCTTCCTTGACAACATCTATTACTATCATGGATTATCAAAGAATATTATATCAAATAGAAGAACACAATTTTTATTGAGATTTTGGAGAATTCTTTTCAAGATATTGAAGGTGGATATAAAACTATCTTCGACTTTCTACCCTCAAAGTAATGGACAAAAAAAATAAGTAAATTAAGTTTTAGAGTAGTATTTGAGGTATACCATCAACTATCAATAAGATAATTGAACAAATCTTTTGCCATTGGCAGAATTTTCTTACAATAATTCGGTACATTCTTCTACTCAACAAACACTTTTTTTACCAATTATGGTTATCATCTATGATTTGACACTTTTAACTTTTTAAAAGTTGATAATCTTGTAATAGAAGATGTGATAAATGGATTCTTAGAGCTACATGCAAAAATGAAGGCACAACTAAAAGAAGTTGAAGAACAACAATAAGCCAAAGCATATGTCTATTGCAAGGAAAAACCTCAATTCTATGTGGAAGATAAGCTATGATTACTTTGTAGTAATATTAAAACTATTTGTTCTTATGACAAGTTGGATTATCATGAGCTTAGACCATTTTTTATTTGTGAATAGATCAATCCAATTGCTTATCAATTACACCTACAGGAATTTACGAAAATCCATCATGTATTTGATGTATCTTTACTCGAGTCATATAAGACAATAGACGTACAAGGAATGAGACAAATGCCACCACCAACTATAAAAGTAGACAATAATAAAGAATTTGAGGTAAAAGAAGTCTTAGATTCAAGGTGGCATTGAAATAGGTTAGAATATCTAGTACATTGGCAGGAATATGACATTAATGAATGCACATGGGAGCCATCCATGAATCTAACAAATGCATCAGCCAAAGTTAAAGCTTTTCAATAATGACATCTATCAAAACTAAGATGAAGAGTCAAGAAATTCTTTGCTATGAAGCAAAGCAAGTCCAATGGAGATTTCATTTTATCTTGTATCAATATTTCTTTAGATTTTTTAGTGCTTAGAAGATGAAAAATCAACAACCAGCAGATTCAACTCAAGAGCTATCATTAGCTGAGCTACCAGACAAGACATTGTGACTATCACAACCTTTGAAATGGCAGAATCGAGATGAAGATCCATAAGAATGATATGTTCTTCTTCAAATAGATGGCAAGATACAATGCTTTTTGGTACCACGACCTTAAAAGAGACTCTTGGTGTTTAATGATACTTTTGGAGGTAGGAACCACTCTTGATGGTATTACTAATGTTTTGTTTGAAGGAAGTTATGAAGGCCACAATAATGATGAAATATGAAGGTGGTCTTCTTGCCCTGGTATGAAACATTATCAATAGGTGAAGGGACCTATCAACTACATTCAAAGGGAACAAAGATTAAAGTACATGGCAAATATAGTTTGGCACATCTTGAACTTCATCAACATATAATCACCACTCCTCGTGGAACTTGTTCCTAGAAAGAGGGGGGGGAATAATGTTACAAACATATATATTTATCTTAATAATTATCTAGATAATAAGAATACATAGAAATAAGTTAAAATAGATAAATATGATAATATCTTGTAGAAAGCTTCCTAGAAGCTTCATAGATGCCATTTTATATTTATATATGTCTAGTAGGTTGAAAACTTGGCCAACAAAGAGGCCACATGTCGACATGTTGACCACTTGTAGTACAAGTTGGACATATGGTGCACACTTAGGAAACTTGCCTTGCAAATTAGACATGTGTCTTACAAGTTGGACACGTATTAGTGGTCGTATAGTATGTCACTACATAGTTCTTAGTTAAGTAGTATATATAGAGGCAAGAATGAGGCCTTCCTCACTCTTGTCAATTCCTTTCTTGCTTTTAGTCTAGTTTCAAGAGTCTCATGTTTTTTTAGACTTTGGCAATTGCCATTCGAATTCTTCCTTGAATATACATACTTTTTTCTATTTTATCATTTTTCTTTTGACACAGATTCCACAAATTTATGTATCTTCTTCCAATTTATATCCTTGATACTTATATGGAAGAAATATAAAATATAAAATCAACATAAATATATAAAAAAAATATATCACATAGTAAAAAGTTAATAAAGTATATAAAAATTATATAAGTAGAATTTTAATTGTAAAACTTATGATTCAAAAATTAATAATATAAAACTTAATTTAAAGATTGAAGATTTCAAACTTGATATATCATGCTTTCCATATGTTCCAACAAATTACACATGTCATAAGTGGTTATCAACTTAAGAGTAATATAATAATATAAATTTGATTTCCATACATTCTTAAGATAGGATTAAATTTAGAATCATATAATTGCTTAACAATATAAATAAAGATCTTTTTTTTGAAGCAAGAAAATATTTACTTCTTCCTAACTATATGTATAGTTAAAACATTGCACTTTTATCCTTGTTTAATTACAATCTTTATATAAATGTTATTTACTAAAATCTTATAAAATCTAATATATTTATCTTGTATAGTATCTCAAATAATTTAGAATCAATTGATACATTATTATTCAAAGACGTTTTGTTGAAATTCTACTAGCCCTCTACTTTAAGAATTACATACTTCAAGAAATATATAATACTTTGTCGATATTGTAAAATACTATTCAGCTATATTTATATTATAACATCAATGTGTTATTGATAATCACAAGCCATAAAGTTTGGCCTTTAGAGAATTGCTTCTAGATTAAACATAATATACATAAACAATGTATATAAACTATAAAAGTTTGATTCATTCTTTAATTTGTCTAAATTTGTACTAAGTATATTATATGATTTATTACCTCACAGCAAAGAAGATATCATGACAAAACAAAATATACAATTACAAACTTTTAACATTATATAAACATTCCTCTTAGAAAACATTAACAATAAATGTGATGACATACAACATAAAAATTACCAACAATACTACAACTAGCTTTATTATAATCACTTCGTAAGATTTGAATAAGTTTTTGTTACTAAATGAATATAATCTCACAAAATAAAAATAAACCTAGTTGCAAATGATACAACAATCTAATGAGATATATATTTCTATGGCATTGCAATTAGTTTTCTATCTTATGGCCATTATTTTTAACCAAAATTGCATTCAAATATTATAAGAATTAAGAGTAAGAACTTAAATTGTGGTCATGACATAGCAAATCACATAACATTTGATGAAATCACTACTAGAGACAAAGAAGGTTGTGTGTAGAAATATACATAAGAATAAGTAAGTACGTGCCATAGTACTTATGTATATTTATACACACAACATTCTTTGTGCAGTGTCAGAACCATCCACGGGAGTGGACTGGCCTGGCAGCCTGCGCTATTGCTGCGATTGTGAACATGTTGGCCCTGCTCTTGGCGCTCATCTCCCTGTTTGTGCAGCACCATGTTTACTCTTCATTCTCATCTTCCACGAACTACTAAGTGTTGCACCAAATGCTCCACACACACACAATCTCCCTAGGTTGTAAAGCAAGTCGTCTACTGTATGTAGCGTGTTGCGTACACGGCTTCACTGGATTACTTAGGGGCTCGACACTTGCATTGTTCGTTCTCAAGGATCCTTTGAAGTACTCAAAGAAATAAGAGGGTTTTTCAACAAAATCAAATAAAATGATCATTGTTGAGATGACGAGAATTCCTTCTTAGATCATGAATAACTAGCGAGTATGGGGATGAAGAGGCGGATTTTGCAGCATCGTGATCATCTTCACAGTAGTGTGATTTCTCTAGTTGGAGACTCTACCTACTTCCTTGCTAACTTAATTTTGCAACAAACGCATCAACCAATTTTTGAAGGTCGCAATTACTTGCCGGTAATCCTTGGAATAAATTAAGCATGCGCCCAGTTTTTTCAGAAGACAATTCGGTGTTATGGCAAGAGAGACGATGCCGTGATATCAACCAATCATTTGGTAGACATCTTATTAGAACAACTGTTTTGCTCTACAATCCTGGCAAAGTGTTACACTTCACTGAACGAATCTTTTAAATAGAGATGGAAAAGGTTACTTCAATATTTGTCGTCGACACATGCAGCACCGCCATAACAGAGAGGTAGATTGACATTCTGCAATTCACACGGACTCTGCTCCATCTTCTCAACCTGACCAGGGGTTTTCAAATTTTCAAAATTGTCTTCTCAATTAATCCAATTATAGTACCCACAACAAATTTGCATCACTGAGGCAACAGTCATGTCAAAATTTGAAGATAACCACAGACCTGAGTGCGTCACTTATCAAAAACAGGCCCAGAAAGATCCCTTCATTACATTGATCTTAAACATTAACCACAAGACAGTGATTCAAAAACACTTCTACATGGACAGGGATGGACAACAACCTAATTGGCAAAAGATAGAGAGGGGTTCACTTCAAAAAAAGATAGAGAGGGGTTTACTTCTCGTGCCCCGAGTCACCCTGGGCGGCTTAGGAAATAGCATGCAATGATGGTACTTGCAGTGATAATAGTTAACAATCAACCGGTAGGGTACACTTCCCTCCACCTGAACATTGCTGCTGATGGGTACTAAACTGTACTAGGGATTCTTGAATAGCACTTGTACCAGGAAGAATGGATAAGACTGAAGAAAAATTTATCAAATTTTCTCTCTCAAAAAGCAAAGAAAAGTTTCAAAGGAGCAACTAGTTTGCAACATCTGAGTTGAAGAGAAAGCTCAAAGAATTAATTGAGAAATTGAGGTAAAAATACTTAAGACTATACCAGGCAAATATCCTCACGCATACCAAACCGTTAGTAGTGGTTTCATGAAGGTGTTTGCAAGAAATCGGTCTACACACTAATATATCAGTGGATAATAGCAGAATAATAGCAAGGATACAATCTTCAATAATTAGAACTAGAAAAAAAACAATCGTCACTGGCGCTTACTCCAGTTTCGGAAGCTGGGCCTGCCCACACTTAGACGGCCACTGGTTTTTGGAGGACAAGTTGGATTACACGGATACGCGCAATCGATAACTGAGCTCGCTGTTGTATCACGCTCGAAGTACCAGTCACCCAAAGCTTGCGATGCAGTCTGTATAAACAAAAGTAGTCCCATCACTGAATCTTGTCCTTCTTGAACTGTCATATTACTTATCAATCAGCAGCATCCAAAATCCGACCCAAATCAACACAAGTGACTGATCTTCACATGCTACAATTTGAAAAGTTGCAATACCTTTCCCTTCACATGAGGTGCATGCGGGCCACTCCAAAACGCATCATATGAAGCTTGACAGTGATGAAAGCAACCGTCAACAAACATTCCATGCTTCTTGCTGTTCTGTATTGGCTTCAGAGCTTCTAGCAACTCTTTCCTGTAGCCTGTCCCAATAAATGCCCACATTTAAGGAGTAATTTACCCTTACTCCCAAGTTCATTCCTCTTCTCTTGTCATCGTCGCATCAAGACACGAATGTTAGGCTTAGAATGATAGTGCTTCCGACCGTGATGCATCCATAAAGCGTCATAGAGAAGATAGAATCCAAATCAATGAAATGCACCTTGAATAATCTCCAGCTGCGCGTTCGTGCAGCTAATAGCATTATTTTTGCAGTCATCCCATTCACCGAGTGGATCTGGAGCGACAATGTTGTCCATCTAACCAATAAATCAGAATAAGCAGATTTTTCAGTGGTTGCTACCAGTTTTAAATTCTAGCAATAAAATAACTTCAAAGAGTCGACACGCAAAAGCACGAATCCAAGATAATGGACTTCTGTGTACCTGCCACCAATCGTAGGCACCATTGACGACGAAAAGTGGAGTCTTCATTTCCGATATCAAATATTGTGGAAAGAAACACTGCCATATCATTATACACTTGTCTGAGCGACTGAGACATCAGCAACAGTGTGTCCGACTACGAAGGCTTCAATGCTCAACAAAACATTAACGTGTTTGTTGCTAGAATTTATGAAATATTGATGTCAGGTATGAACTTCACATAGAGGACAAACCGGACTATCAGTTGTAAACATTCCATTACCTCAACTGAATTCCGTGTCTCCGTACAGTATTCCGGCAGCGTGCCACTGACATTCTGCCATCCAACCATAATAATCCTATACTCATCAGGAATTTACCTTCTGACTTCAGAAGTTGATCACTTATACTATCTTTATACAAAATATTGAAGTCGAGGTGAAAATTCGAAAGGTTGATGCTGTAGAAATTAGATTACATGCAAATCAACTACATTTTTGAAGTATGTTTGAATTTTGTTCTCGCCCTTGTACGTTTTCCTGTACATCACTGGAGTCAGTTAGAGGAATGGATGCACGTATTTATTTAAATGATATCGATGCAGTTCTTGAATTAATTCTCTACACAACTTCCAAAAAGAATCAAGAACGAGCCAACGATCCTAGCAAGTCTTCAGTAGTCATAGTGAGAGACCACACGCATCTAAACTTACCCAAAAATGATAAAAAAATAACTAGATAATACAATACAAAGGGCTCAATGTAAAACCCAAGTGGCACTACTTAAAACTAGATCTTAAATCTTAGACGCTTTTCGACATGAAGACATAGTATGCGAGAACGTACATGTCAACAAAGAAACCTGCATCACTCATGCATTTCACGACCTTGGCACGCGGCAAAACTGTTCTCAATTTGTCACAATGAAGGATGGAGGATAAGCCGCCTGCTGAACAACCACCAAGCAGAGCCTGACAAGGAACCCCACGACAGGATTAGTCAGCCTCAACTGGGCGGTAAAAGTTCCTCTGCAGAGCCGTTAAAGACGAGAAAATATGGCATTGACCATTTCCTTTCTAGTAATGTGACTGTTGACGGTTAAGAAGACATTGGTTAAATACATTGTTGGATTTATTAATGTTTATGCTACCCGAGATAATAATAGGACTACAGGTTCAACGGTAATTGAACACTTATGCTGATCCTTGATGTCTGAACTTAGTTTGGCACATGCAAGCGAAAATATACCTTCTCAACTTTGTTCAAGCCTTTCTTCAAGAGGTCATCAATAACAAAGTTCCAAATACTTTCGCCTCTGTAGTGCAAGGCATTTCCCTATAATCGACAGGGACGATTCAGTTAGAATCAAGACACTTGTTCTTGCATCTACACAAGGATGTATTGGATGTCCACATTCTCGGTTAGAAAGAAATGTACGGAAGTACTCAAGACAGAAGAACTCACACCACTAACCTCGGTTTTAGTGGGCAAGCTGGAATTGCCACTAAAAGAAGCACCATCGCAGTACCTCACAAATACACGATTCCAGTTGTAAAAATCTGAAAAATACCCCAAGAAAAATATTCAACAGAAAGTATTTTTTTCCACCTATTTCTCTGCAATTGCTCGATTTCACATCTGTACAGTGCTCATGCGTAACGCTAACATTTGATCGGTCCTAGATACATCACGATGCCGTAAAGAATGGAATAAAACCGATTTGTTCACACATACAGGTGGTTTTAGTCTCTCAGTAAGGTTGTAAAGCTCTTAGTCCTAAAAATAAAGATTCAAACCTGGATTGACCTCCTCTGAGTTGCTTAAAATTCCTTCAAAAGTCCGATCATTCATCCACTTGGAAGATCCCAAGTGAGCTCGAGCTCGAACCTTGCATGCTGCTTCACTTTCACACCACGCTCCTTCCTGCAAGAAACAGACCGACAAACGTAAATGCAGATAACTACTTAAAAACAGCAGTTGAAAATTTGCATAACATGAACAAGGAATCAAGACAGTCACTCTCGTCTCATGAAGCATTAAAACCGTGATGGCCATCCACTTCATCATGCATAAACAGCACTCTGGACTGACTGGTATACCCTTGTTACTTTTCACCCCTGGGTGAACCTACTCTGCGTGCTCCCTATTCTTTAGAACTAATTTTCTTCTCTTCACAATTTGTGAACAAGGTGCAGAAAGAGCCTCGATATAAACTATGAAAGGGTCTGAACGTGAATGCTCTGATTGCATCATGTCCGGCAAATCACAAGTTCGTTTTCGTCAACTCGTGAAGCTACATTTACCGTTCATCACTGGAAAGGACCATTAGGAGCTGAATACAATTATTAGCCTCGCTGTTTGCAATCGTTGCATGGTTTCCCAATTTAAGTCTAGGAGTGCATCTGATGGTAAGGGTTGCTCAAGCATAACAACGTTGATGGGCTGACCTCCAAAAACAAAACCCAATTCCTGGCGTTCCCCCCATTCCCTTCGTGTAGATGATAACCCGGTGGAGAGCCATCCAAGCATACTGCGCACATGAGGAGGAGCCATGCAAACTTTCTTCAGGAGTGAACATAAAAAACATCAGGTCATAAAACCGATTGAAATAGGACTTGAACTTTCGCTACCCACTGAAATTTAGCTCTCAAGTTCATGTTCACAGTCATGTTATGTAATCATTTGTAGTAAACATATACATGCAAGCAAGCATCATACATAGTCTTCAATGTAGTTCAGCTAATACCTGCACCTTCCGCCACAGCCCCCTCCAGAATAGTCAAAGGCACAACTAAAGGCTGAAGAGATTGAGTTTCATGCGGAACGGTTGCATCAGAATCATTCTTCGAAGCGTCTGAACCTGCCGGTATCTCCTGTCGAGGAATCACCTCACTCTGTGCTGAAGAAATCGGGGTAAGCACATTCGTAGGATGCTTGGCCCCACTATAGAATCCATCGGTTGGCAACAATTTCACAAGCCTCTGCACTCCTTCGTAGTTCCATACTAAGGTGGCTAAGGTGGCAAAGAGGAGAAGCGTCACGAAGGTCATTAAACCTCCGCTGGAATGCCTCCTGGAAGACAGAGTGGGGATTCCCATGTTGGAAATCTTTCGGCTGTTCTTTTCCTGCTGGTGCCACATCATCAGCTTAAGAGACAATGAGGACTAGCTCCTCCTCAAGAACGGAAGGGCAGCTACTCACTGTCCATGGACGGCAGGGTAGCGAAGAAGAACGAAGAGCTTCTACGACGATATCTTTCTTCCATTGGCTCCCCGGTGCATGCTTGAGGAGGTCGGTAGATATCTAAAGATAATACAGTCACGGATTTGAGCAAGAGCGTAAACCAAACGCGAGCAATACATTTGACCGACTCTCGACTAAAGTGCGCTGCTAAAGAAAGAAAAAATAACCGCAGGCACAGAGAAGCTCGAAAGACCTTCAAATCAGGGATAAAATTCTGACAAAAACAAAAAAGAATCGGCAATGAACTTACACTTGACCGAAAAATTCAATCGAAAGGAGCCGAGAAGAACAGGCAAATGAGACGAGGGCGGCATATAACGATTCACAGCACTCGGCTCAGAAGACACTTAAACAGATGAAAGCTGTGAAACAGTCCTTGTAGACGGCGTCATAAAGGGAGCCAATAATTGAGTTGCAAGGACAGACAACAGACAAGCCAAAAAACAGTCACAAGATCTCAACCTAAGACAACAAGATCCGTCTGTGTCCTCTAAACATCATTCTCATCAGATCACGCTGCCTTCCGAACCTAATAAATCCATCGCAAGACCGCATTGCCACTATACTACTACTACACGATTCAGCACTCTGACCCAAATCAGATTCCCTCCCCCAAGGCTCTTGAGCTAAATACCCACAAACAGCAATCGAAAACATGACAAGCAAGTGATCAAAATTATGAGCGGGAATCGGTGGCAATGCCGGAAGAAGCAAAACAAAACAAACTTAGAAAACAAGATTATCCCATAAAAAACGAAAGGCTGGCATAAGAAAAATAGAGATAGCACACCGCAGATACAATGCCACGCCTATGCTTATCCCTACACCTCTCCGTCTGTCAATCTTCTACTAAAAATCCATATCTCAATGTGGGTCAGTTAAAAATACGTTGACAGACCCAACTGGGTGAAGGTCGGCAAAGCCGCATTCATCTCCAGAAATCTAAACTTTTCTTGACCGAGAACAATGTGAATGGAGGGACTGTATGAAGGAGAAGCTCACTGTAGCCTAATTGGAAGGAAATGTCGCAGCGTCAAGAAAAACTCCAACATTCTTGTGAATTGAGATTCTTCACATATTTGTGGTGTCGAGGCAAGTCGGCATAAGGATTCAACTCCCAATTTCTATGTGCGATCCCAGTACACACTGGCAGACAACATTGTGTAGGCCGAAGTGAAGCCAAAAATTATATATATACAAATAGCCACCAACGCCAGCGTCAGCACGTTGAAAAAAAGGATAATAATATCACTGGTCTTATATTATACACGATATCACATTTGCCACGCTCGAGAGAGATTGCGAGTTCAAATCCTACAAGGTCATCACTGTCGCTAAGCATTCCATTGTGCACAGGGCAGAGTGCCATGTTTGCGCTCCACTGTCTGGAACCTGAATCACGGGAAGCGTGTTGAGATAGAGAATGCATCTTTGCAATCGTCGCTCCGTAATTTATCAGCAATATTAGTGTAAACTTCAAAACATTACTATGGGAGGAACCAAATTGAGCCCATTGTCGTTACTGCTTCCAGCATTACTTGATACTGAGCGCTCTAGCGGAGACCACGATCTACACGAAGACATCCAATAACTTGTGAAACGAATGTAAAGTCAGCTCCAAAGCAAAGAATCATAATTTGAAAAACAACTTGAAGGAAGGGTCACTTACAACAGAGGAGTGATTGTCTGGGTTGAGAGAATATGGAACACCGATTCTGCATGCTGGCTAATTGAAATCGTCTATCGGTGCAGCGAGATGCACGAAGAGGAATTTTAGGGCTAACTGCGTGGGTCTTTCCTCGCTTCCCCGTTTGAACAATTGTTAACTTCAGTATGCTAAATGTGTCCATTGCTGGATGATTCGATGACAAACATTTGCAAGAACATGCTTTAGATGTGACAAGCTTCATTCATTTTTTTTTTCAAATTTTTTTTTTCCCTTTTTTTTTATTTTAATGTACGTAACATTGTGTTAGGATTTGGAAAAAGAATTAGAAATAAAATTAGACATTAAAATAAGAAAAACATACTGTAGTTACTGTATATATATGTATGTATATATATATATATATATATATATATGTATATCTATATTGATGCACATGTTTTGTTTTATTAAAAAATAGCTGATTTAGATTTATTGTATGAAAAAAGTACAATCATTTAAATACATTAGTAAAAAAAATTACAAAAAATTACAAAAAAAAAAAAAAAAAAAAAAAAAAAAAACATTGTTCTTCATCCACCAAAAGGTGAAAGATGAAATGAAAACGAGGAAGTATAGTGAGGCACAGAACACTACCAAAACACAGCAACAAAGTTGTGGTCACAATAAGAAAATTTGTAGCGGAACACATATAAATTCTTAGATTTTGTTCGTGAAAACTTGGTGTCAATCTGGTGCATATAAGAAACTCGAAACATTGTTCGTGGTTTTGAGTGGATTGGTGGAGGTGGTTATTGAGGCGAGAATGAATTCTGAAATAATTTCCAGTATCCAGATTTACAAGAATTTAACGCTTATCAACACAAGTTTCCACAAACAAGTGCAGATGTGTGTGTGTACACATATACACAATGACTAATTAGGGTTTAGTGAATCCATTATTTCTAATCCGCCTTAATAACCCCTAGTCAGTCGTTGCAATCTGCTCGCTTCTTAAAGTTTTTAGTCGTGCCATCGTGTCCTCTCTCCACATCTCCTCGTAACAACCGCGGGTGTACTCTTGTCACTGCCGTGTACCTCGGCTACATGCTCCTCTCATCCCTCTTCGTCTTCAATAACTGTAGCAAGAATCTGAACTGCCGATACTGCATTGCAAAGCTTGCCTGATGAGGAAGGAACCGAACCACCCGACATAAATTGAGCAAGTGGGTCTTAGTGAAGGGCTCAGAAAGTGCACAACACAGCAGGCAGAAATGAAGACGTGCACAATGACGAGCTGCTCGTTGCTGGATTCAAGTGCAACAGCCTCTATGCAACTCTGCCAGGTGCTAATGCCATTATAATCCCTCCTCTGCACTCTATAATCATATCCTCACATTGTCAAACCAATCAATCCGCATCTGAGTTTGATCATGTCTTTCCACTGTAACGTTGAAGGCTAACCCACGTAGAGTCCTCCCAATCAGACCTTGAGGGGTTCGAGACCGAGCGGAGTCTCTCATGGACGACATTCATCCGACAATGGAGATGAGGAGCGTTATCCACACCCAGATTGCACTGCTTCCTTTCGCATGGAAAGAAAAGATCTTGGAGATTTTGTCACCAGGAAATTGATGAACCTCAGCTGAAATGAAGAGTTCCCGTGTATGGTAGATGATGCTCCTACATTCCGAAGCTTTCTTTGGTTTCGGAGGCGGAGAGTCGCTGTTGTAGCAGCTTCCAGCAGGATTTTCTTCGAGGCCCCGGTACGCAATTCCTCGAATATTTGCAGATTTTTCTGGGTTTGTAATCTTCAGCTTGTTCTCTGCAAGGCCTGTGAAGTTGTTTGATAATGTCGCTCTCGCTCGTCTCCGCAAGAGCTACGTCTTCTCTCCTTCCTGGGGCTGTGTCCTCGGCCCCGTGCAGCCATGGATTCTCTCAGGTTAGCTCAATTGGATTCTTAAGTTTGCAGCATTCTCATATATCCTTTAGGGAGTCCTCAGGGTTGCTGGGATTTCAATTACCATCCTTGAAAATCTCGCGAGAGTTAGAGACACCATTAGTGCGTCAGATATGTCGAGCTGCATTGGCACCCGAAGTAGAGGCCGCCGTTTCCAAGCAGTCATGGCGGAGCAAGGAACCCAAGGATACCACCGTCATGATAGTGGGTGCCACGGGCTACATCGGCAAATTTGTCGTGAGAGAGATGGTGAATCGCGGCTACAACGTGATCGCAGTTGCTCGGGAGAAGAGCGGCATTGGAGGAAAGGTTGACGCCGAACAAACCATCCGAGATTTTCCAGGCAGTACCGTTGTCTTCGCAGATGTCTCCGACACGGACTCCATCACGTCTGCACTACAGTCCCCAAATATAAATGTCGACGTTGTGATTTCCTGTCTCGCCAGTAGAACCGGCGGCAAGAAAGACTCCTGGAAGATTGACTACCAAGCCACTCGGAACTCCCTCGACGCGGGCGTTGCACGAGGTGCTTCCCACTTCGTCCTCCTCTCGGCTATTTGTGTGCAGAAACCCTTGCTGGAGTTTCAGAAGGCGAAGCTTAAATTTGAAGACGAGCTTGTGAACTATGGCAATGGCCTTACGTACAGCATTGTTAGACCTACTGCCTTCTTCAAGAGTTTGGGCGGGCAAGTGCAAAGTGTTCAAGGAGGCGGGCCGTATGTCATGTTCGGCGACGGTAAGCTGTGCGCTTGCAAGCCCATATCTGAAGCAGATCTTGCTTCCTTCATTTCTGACTGCGTCAGCGACGTTGAGAAAGTTAATCAGATGCTCCCCATCGGTGGACCTGGGAAAGCCCTAACCCCTCTCGAGCAGGGGGAAATGCTGTTTAAGATTGTTGGTAAAGAACCCAAGTTTATTAAAGTGCCTATTGGCATCATGGACTTCGTTATCGGGGTGTTGGACAATCTCTCTAAGGTTTTCCCAAACCTTGAAGACGCTGCAGAGTTTGGGAAGATTGGACGGTACTACGCGGCCGAGAGTATGCTTGTGTTGGATCCAGTGACTCAGAAATATGATGCGGATGCTACGCCAGGTTATGGTAGTGATACTCTGGAGGCTTTCTTTGATCGTTGCGTGAGGGAAGGTATGGCGGGGCAGGAGCTTGGTGATCAAGCAGTGTTTAAGAGTTAGTTTGTGGAACCGTTTTTGTACGAATAGGTTATTTTTTTTGTTCTGTGCATGCAGTGATCAAGTCCAAAGATAAGAAACCTGAGCCTTGAGGTATTGGGATTAGAAGAAGTGGATTAATCTGCTCTTGAGAGAAACTTGACTACATATGGAGCCTGTGCTGGTTGTACTATATGTTCGGCTGCCTGTTGGTGAACCAGGCACACCACGAGCTTGACATGATTTTCCGTAATCTGCACAAGCCTTCAACTAATGAAGGTTATGCTAACATTGTAACATGTATGTCGCTGTGACAGTGTATGCCTGTAAGAATGCTTTGTTGTCAAATCCGTCTCGTGATCATCTTGACAAACTTGGGAAAATCCAGATTTGGTATGTTCCAGATTCACATGCAGTTGTTATAGCTTAGCTTTTGAATCTCATCAGTCACCTTCCTTGTTGCGATAGGATTATAGAAGCGAGAGAAGAGTTAGGAGTCTGCCCTTTGATCAAACCTTTGGGACGCAGGCAGTCAATCTCGCGCATGTCTATCAGGATTATACCAGAATCTGCTTTCGTCTACAAGGCATTCCTCGTCACTTAACTTTCAGGAGTTCTCCTCCACTTCTCAATGAGCTAGGTTTTCCTCGCCTCAATGAAGTTCGAGTTGAGCTATTCATAAATTTCGTATTCGCGCGATGTTCGACATCGCTCTGTTATACTTGAGATGAATGATCACCTTCTAATGCGTTCTCTATGGAAAACTAGGTCTGGAATTTTCAAGCTTTGAGGCAGAGTTTTTAGGGCTGCGTCCTATTTTATCATCCGCATTGAGCTTGTCTTAGTGTTTTGGATTGTGGTGGGGGTTAATTCCCGTTTTCTTGTTCTCTTCCCTTTATATTGTTTTGTTTCAGTAGTGTGGAAAGGACATGTTGACGAATTTTGATGTCGTCGAGCCAGGGTCCTATGCTCGGAGTTATGGTTGAAGCTAGGATTAATTCAACATCCTTACCTACGTTGAAGGATGTTTTCTCTAGATTATGAAGTGCTTATCTTTCTCACATGACAATATGTCGCAAACATGGCCAGGTTCTCTGTAATGAACCTCCTGATAGATATCGTCACTGTGCAGTTTGTTTTCTCCACCATCCGTTAGCTCAGACTATGTGAGTTTGAGTTCTGCAGCAAATGGCCCACATGTTTCGTTTCGATGATGCCACAAGTTATAGAACTCTCTGAGAACCACTCGTTCGCTGGTTGCTGGGACGCGCGAGCCGTGAACACGGCTCAGACATTGACCTGAAGTGGCTTCAGAACCACTATTCTCGGACAGTTGACAGTCATGGACCACACCTACTGCGTTAAATAGGACCACGAATCGGCTGCAAGTTTGGCGGCTGGATCTCTTTTGAATACCTCCAGTCATCGATATGATTAGGAGTATCCGCAATAGCTACATGGGGGCAGTAGAGGCGCATTCGACATGAAATATTCTCATTGCGTCGTCATCGTATATTTTACTTAAATTAGTCAGCATGCGCCATAGTCATGGACGGTTGTCCACCAATCTAGTTCTCTGGTCTGGTCGCCTTTCCGTGCGACTGATGCCGTTACAGTTCGCACGCCCATTTCAACTGGCGGTTCAGATCCGCTCTAGAAGTATCTGTCTCTTTACTGAAGGAGAAGTTGCAGGATTCATTTGTCAATTATGGAGCTTGAATGGTTTGAATTCTGATTTGAATTCGTCGCCGTGTCTCTGTTGCCGATCGTTCTAGTTTTAGCTTTGTTGCAGCTGCATGTTGGTGTAGGATGTGGTGAGAGCAATAGAGGTTTGAAGTGAGTTGGAGGAAGCCTGGGGTCGTTGCTGCGTTGCAGTTGCACATGGCGCCATCTGCAGGTTTAGAATCAACTAGTGATGGAGTGCTCTCCTTCATTTCTAAATCTCTTACGGAGGTGCAAAAAAGCACAAAGATGGACATGAGGCTCATTCAGTCTAGAGTGGAGTCGTTTCGGGAGAGCTCTAAAACTCCGAACGTCAAGAACTGGAAGAGTCCTCCCCTGCCGAATTTTTCTGTGAAGGATAATCCGCTCAATCTCAGGGTGGACGATTTTGATATTCTCAAGAGCTTGAAGCCCATGATTGGCCGGTCGTGGTTGGACGCAACCATGCAAGAGCGGAAGTCCGAGCTCTGGGTTGTGCCGCGGATTGACAAGGCTCGAGAGTCGGGGAAGAGCCGTGACAGAGGGGGCGCTGAGCAGGAGCGAGATAGACGCATTCTGTTCAAACCGCAGGGGGACAGGAAGACGTTTAGGGTTTCAAAGAACTGGGAAGAGCCTCTCAAGAAGGTAAAGCAGACTGTAGAAGAGAGTTTGCGGGACTTGGAGACCACGGCAGCTGCTAGCAAGACGCCTGGGGAATTTTTTGAAAATGTCCAGAAGACGGAGTTCTTCGAAAACGTGAAAAAGAATCTTGTGAGTTACAGTTGGGTGGTTTGGCTTTTGATATCTCTATCAACATAGACTCGCATTTGTCATTCTTTGTCAAATTTTGCGACAATGTCGTGCCCAACATTGTAATGTGAAGATTTTAACTCCTTTATGCTTGTACTCCCACTGGTGAGATTGTCTGTGAGGTAATTGATAGGTACAGGTTATGATACACTGAGGTTTCCTCTTCCATGATGATCTGTTGTAGAAATTTGCAAGGGCTTCTGACGTCGGTACAAACACTGGCAGCTACGGAACAGATGTGGCGCCGTTGACTATTCCAGAGTTATTCGAAGCTGTCATGCGGGAGTCTGAGCCTTTGTTGGATCATCTTGGTATCAGGAAAGGTCTGAATTTCTTGTGAGACAAGCACTTGTCATTTGTACCTCTTTACAGTATGCAGGTATTCGTTTTTCGATTTGCGGTGTGTGTCGATGTTGAGCTGAGATATTTCAGGTTAACTGCAGATGTGACCAAGAAGTTTCGTGAGGTGGTGACTGGACCTCAAGCTCTCAGTGGTGCTTCGGTTACCCAACGCGCTCTTCCTGTCACCGTAAAAGAGTCCTCTGCCCAAGATGAGCTTGACTTACGAATTGCCAGCGTGATTCAAAGCACAGGTTACAAGTTCAAAGGGGGGCTGTTGACAGAGAAGCAGACACTTCAACCAGCCACAAAGGATTTGCGCCGCAATATTGCTATTGTTACAACCGCAAGTTTACCCTGGATGACCGGGACAGCTGTGAATCCTTTGTTTAGAGCAGCTTATTTGGCGCGGTCTGGGGAGCAGAAGGTGAATCTGCTGGTTCCTTGGTTGTGCAAGAAAGATCAAGTGCTCGTGTATCCGAATCAGATTACCTTTGAAACTCCAGCTGAGCAAGAGCGTTTTGTGCGAAAGTGGGTGGAAGACCGAGTTGGTTTCCAATGTGACTTCAAGTTATCATTTTATCCCGGCAAAGTAAGATGTACCAGCATTTATCCTTGGGATGTGTTTCTCTGTGTATGGATGGGGAAGCCTATATTATATGTCTTCACCAAGTGCCATAGTCGAGTGGCCATTGCATTGAACAGAGATTATCTGTGATAAGAACGATTAGACGTTGAGGGTTTTCATTCTATAATGTCTTATTTTGTCCTCAACTTTGTACTCTCTGATCGGATGTGCAGTTCTCTACAGAAAAGCGTAGTATCCTGGCAGCTGGGGATATTTCTCAGTTCATTCCTAACCAAGAAGCTGACGTTGCAGTGCTGGAAGAGCCAGAACATTTGAACTGGTACTACCATGGGAGACGTTGGACTGATAAGTTCCAGCACGTTGTTGGTGTGGTTCACACAAATTACTTGGAATATGTCAAGCGGGAGAGGAACGGGAGCGTTCAGGCTTTTCTTTTAAAGCATGTAAACAACTGGGTGGTTCGTATCTACTGCAACAAGGTCAGCGTCCTTTACATTTAATCCTTGTCAACGTTCAATTTATTTAATGCATGCAAAATTCATCATGTGCTTACATCATCTTCAAATCTGCTCTTACAAAGACTTGATTACTAGTTTTGATCACGTGAACTCGCAATGACCTTGCACCAGGTATTGCGATTGTCGGCTGCAACTCAGGATTTACCTCGATCATCTGTCTGCAACGTTCACGGAGTAAATCCTCAGTTCCTGAGGATTGGAAAAGGCCTTGCGGAGATTGAAGGGAACGAGCCTAAATTTTCAATGGGAGCTTACTACCTTGGGAAAATGGTGTGGGGGAAAGGATATAGGGAACTGGTAGATCTTTTAGTACAGAACAAAGAAGTTCTCTGCAACATCAACTTGGATATATTTGGAAGCGGGGAAGATTCGGATGCAGTCAGAGATGAGGCACAACAGAACGGACTTGCCTTGAATTTTTATCCAGGAAGAGATCATGCTGATGCCTCCCTCCATGGGTAAGACGCTGTGTACTTGTTTGGAGTCCTGGGCTGTAAACTTTTCCTGTATCATGTTTTGACCTTATGTTCATTCTCGGTTGTGGCTGCGTTGCAAAATGTTTTTGCTTTTCTAATCTCCGGGGACTACGTTTTGACGTCTTTGTTTTGCAGCTACAAAGTCTTTATCAACCCAAGTGAAAGCGATGTGGTATGCACAACAACTGCGGAGGCGCTGGCCATGGGCAAGATCGTTGTTTGCGCAGACCATCCTTCAAACGAATTTTTCATGCCGTTCCCCAACTGCTACACTTACCGCACTCCTGAAGAGTTTGTCGAGAAGGTGAAATTGGCACTATCATCTGAGCCACTACCTCTGACGCCAGAACTTCAACATCTTCTCTCGTGGGAGGCTGCCACGGATCGCTTCATCGACTCTGCAGGGGTCAAGAGCCTGCCACCGCGAGAGGCGAGAACGATCGAACGGAAGAGGAAGCGGCGAATTCCCATCGAAGCTGCAAAAGGGAGGACTATGTCCCTGTCATTGGCGTTACCAAAGAAGACGCTGAGCAACATGATTGATACGGGGCTTGCATTCAGTCACTACTTCCTTTCAGGCATTGAGATCGCAAGGATAGCAGCTGGAGGTTTGCCAGGGACGATGAATATTGGTGAGGAATACCGCAAGGACTTGGACCTCCCTCCTACCCCTCCAAGGATTGTTTATGGTTGGTAGCCTGGTGATAACATCTGCACACCAGGTTTGTTAGTATCGTTAGCTACAGAATTCTTCTGTGGTCTTGTACCTTAATTCAGACAGCTTAACATATGAGCACCTAAGAAACAATAGTGTGCTTTTTAAAATTAGAATGTACCATTCGGAGGTACTTACAGTCGTCCTGTAAAACGATGGATCACTAAATGTGTATTTTAAAATTACTCTTCGATGTTTGAGTTTTCTAGACTCTGTGCTTATTTTGGTGTTCTATCCCCGTCCAGTTCCTGTGAGTGCTGCACTCTCGATCCTCTCTCTCTGTCGATTCGTGTTCATGCAAGTCGTTTTCCCTTGCAACCCAGCACAGTGATTTTTAGAACAGGAGAAATCGTCCTGTTGTAGTCTTCTTAGTTATTGCAGTACTTGCCAGGTAACCCCAAGAATCCTTGGTTTAACAAAGAACTCTCTGACGCAGCCGATCGTTTCACAGTTTAGAAAACGCCGGAAAGTACAAACTAGTCAGATCCAACGGAACCGAGGCCACTAGAGAAGTAAACGTTTAAACTCGTTGAAGCCGCTGGGGTAACTACGACTGTTGCAGCTGTGTTGCCATGTGAGGTCCGTTTTGCACACAACCCTTCATATCCGTATCCTTAGCCATCACCAACAGTGTCATCTGGAAAATTCTTCTCACGAGTTATCAGTCACTGTAATATGGCAGAATTCAGTTCCGTAAAAGAGTGAAATATTCCACAGAATGAACATGGACTTGTATGCAAACATTAAGATAACATCTATATATATATATATATATATATAGATATAAATATAAATATATATAAATATATATAAATATATATATATATATATATATATCTCAGGCAGGTATTTTGCCCCAGACTACCGGAAAATACGACACTGATCCGCCCAGTGTCTAGTCCACGCCCACGGTGACATTTATGGCCTTCTTCCCCACCAGTCACACGCCTTTGAAGCTTTCCGAATTAACCCAGCTCCTTCAAACCTCACATCTTAATTTTAGGCCGAAGCCTTTCCAATGCTCACATGGTAATCCACCTAAAAATACTTTTGCAATACGGAAAGGTTGAAGATCAAAAATACTTTTGTAATTACTGAGTGTCCATGCTGTCCATACTGAGACTAGTTTTGGAGTTGATGAATTCGCATCTAGGTTTAGCGATGTTCTGCCATCTACGCTCTTGGGGGGTGTGATGTCTCGGAGAGTGAGCGCTGTAACAAGACCAGAGTAATGGTTAGGAGTCTCCTAGTTTCCAATTTCCTCGCCGAGTTTGTAGTACCTCACAGGATTTCGCTGCAAATTGTATCAGTGATCATTAGTTGCTGCGCGCTAGACCTAGTTTATCTGCATCTGTTGAAGTTGCCAAGTTGCGGCGAGCTTCTTGAGGTGGATTGTCACCAGCTCGTCAAGTCGCCATTCTTCGTGTGAAGATTGACGTAGTCCCTGGAGCGGATCGGACAAAATTATGTGTTCCTCTTGGTGATTTATGTAAGCGACATATTGGGTTGGTGTTGGAGATTGTTGAGGTGTTGATGGTTTCAGCTCTCATCAGTATGAATCGTGAAGTCACTCTGGTGAGAAATCGCTTCGTAATCTGCTTTTTTGCTGCTGTGGGCGTATTATTCACGTAGCTTCTCAAGATCTGTTTTCAGGTCTTGGACGGTTCTATTTCTCGATTCCGAAGAATCTGCTCCTCCACCTTCTTTGGGATTGTTGTTAGTTTTAGAACTCTCATCAATGAGAATTTGTTCGGGGAGGAGCTGGCAGTATGGGCATATTTCAATCTAGCCAAGCGTTTAAAGTGATTCAAGTACCGAGAACAGGATCGGCAGTGGCGGGACTACAGGAGTTTTCTTTGGATTTTAAAGCACCGTCAGTGCATTTTCAGAGCCCCACATTTGCTTACGGATGTGCCCAGAAACATTGGGTATAGCCTTCTTCTACTGTTGTAAGGCCTGTTCTTCCGGATCGATTTCGAGGACTGTTGAACGCAGCATTCTTGATTGGGTGAATGCCATTTTGTGAGGATCAGCTTGAAGGCCGACACTTGCTATATCCCCGAGACTTTTGTAAACGTTACCTTGAGGAGTCCTGACCATTTGGTTGAGGGATCATCATGGTGTCTCGTGATGAAATGCATCTCCCTTGCCATTGTTGGCGATGAAGTATTTCAGTACCACATTTGATTACTGCGATACAATCGCCTGGGCAGAGAAATTCTCTTGCACCCTTGAGTGGTCGTGAGTGGTGGAGGTCGAGATGAGTGATGACGAGCCAAGCCCTGGGGGCAGAACCCTCAGGATGGGAAAGAAGAAGGATGGTCCAAACTGGTTCATGATAGCTGGAGGTGCTGTAGTGATGGCAGTGAGTGTTGCACTCGGGCGAAAAAAAATTTTGAATGATGGGGAGAAGACCAAGGAGAGAGTTTTGAACACTAGTGCCAGGACTCAAGCATCATCACCGCATCATCAGGATCTTGGTACACACTTCTCAAGCAACGCTTAATTCGCTTGTTCAGTTGCTTACAACGTTCTTGCATCGGGTGATCCGTGGACCATGTGTAACCTAAGCAAGCTGAATTATCTTGTGATTTTGTTTCATTTTTTACTGGACGCTGGGGTGGATTTAATGAGGCTTGTAAGCTTTTCATCTGACACAAATTGTGAGAATCCAGTTCAAATATCTCCTCGTCAGTTGTGAATTTCATGTTTAAGGGACTATAAAATAACTGCTCTTATTTCGGAGCCACGAAGTTGCAGGGTCTACCATCCTCGTAAATTTAACTCTCTTGTGTCTTCTATCCTCTGCTTAAAAAATTGCTTCCGGATGTATAGAAACCTTAACTCTTTGTAGTCACTGATTGACTTCTATTTCTGTAGATGAAACTGGTTCAATGCACACGTACGAGACGGTTCATGACGGGACACCATTCTGGGACAAGTCTGAGTCTGTGGCTCCACCACAAGCTAAGTTTGAGTTTCGCAGTTCTAAAACCAAACGTCCTGCACCAGCCGACTCTTCTCCGCAAGTTTCTAAATGTTTCCGGCAGCTTAGTCATATCTCAGTTTGTCAGTCCAATAAGCACTCGGTCCAATCCGATGCCCACAATTCAACAACATTACGATCAGGTCTTACAGCCAGACAGGAAATGGTTCACAGGCTGCGACAGCAAATTAGGAGTAGAGATGTAATGATTAACGACATGCAGGTGTGGTATTCCTCATCTTTTGAGCTTCTAGAATCTTTTAATTCTCTATACTAACGTTTCGTTGCTTTTGCAGATCCTAATCCCTGGCTTTTGCATCTTATGTTGATAAGACTTCTGCACATTTGGCAGGCGTGTCGCAGTTTGTACGCTTAATTTAGTGTCAGTTTGTTATGTTTACTTTGTAGACCCAACTGGCGGACCATGTGATTACCATGCATCGCAACCATTCTGTTGATCTTCAAGAGTGCGTGCAAGCAATCAGCACAAATCTATTTGAAGCCAATGTGGAGGTTCAGAAATTACACCGAGAATTGATGAAACAACGTGCCCAACAAATTGGTGACTTGGATGAAGAGTGTATTGACATTGCGGTTGCTGAGATTAAACGGCAATGGGTGCATCATGTAAGAAAATCTCTCTCCTTCTCTTTCATACGTCTTATTTAATTATATAGAAAATTAGGGGACATAGACAATTCTCTTTGATTACATGCTTTTGTTTAAGACTACGTGTAGATTATTTTTTGATCATGGTGATTTTACGGATACTGCAGAAGGATGTTGAAGAAATCATTCATGAATCACGGAAGTTGAGTGAAGAAATTCAGCGTCTGGAAAGAGAAAAAGAAGCGAAAGACAACTTGGCACATGCGAAGTTGCGGCAGTGTGAGATACTATCAAAGAAAGTGTCATCTTTGGCGACTGAGCTGGAGGAGGTCAAGCGTCTAGCTCAGGGAAAGCAACGTTTGTTAGAAGCCAAGGAACAAGAAAACCTGCAACTGACTAGTGTTCTTCAGGAACTTCACCACAAGCTTGAGATAGAAGTATGTATTCACTTCCTTGCCTTCATATTATGTCACTGTTCCTTCTTAAGCTTTTTGTCTGATATTTAACTATGTTTCTTCAACTCTTCAAGATAAGATTTTGGAGTTGACGTCTTCCATCACGTAGTCATCTAGTATATATCAGAATGCGTGGATGCTCAGCGCTTGCCGGTATCATTCGCTGGCTATCTTAAAGTTCAGAAGTGTCAAGAACTGTTGAAATTAAAAATGTCCTCCTCACATTGTATCAAAATTTGATATGCTTGTTCAGAGTATTGTAAATTGTCTTGACTTTATGTCTTGCTTTGTTTATGGTAACAGACCAGGGACAACGATTGGGCTAGGAGCAGCAAGCTTAGCAGACGGACAGATGCTCGTAGTACGAAGCCGAGTTGGAACTTGAATCACAATATTGACCGGCCTGTCACCCCCTCTGTTAATGGAGAAGTATCGTCATCACGCATGTGGGTCGTTGATGAGAACTTCCAGCAGTCAGGGTGTGTAATCTCTCCATTAGTATATTATCTTGATTTAAAATTGTCTGGATCCTTTTTTGTAATTTTTATAACGAATTTTTCTTTATATGAACATATCTAGCTACTACAGTTGTTTTCTAAGTGCTGCAGCAGACAAATATGGTATTACTACTAGGGTTTGGATCTAGTTGTTGTGGAATGTTGTGAAGTGAAGTACACATGCAAGCTAATTCGAGTTGCAAAATGTGGGAATGATTGCAGTGACGAGTCTGTTCTTGCAAGAAATGATTTTCAACAAGACAGTGAAACAAGTGTTGCTAAAGGAGAATCACCTTGTGTCTCTAATTCGCATACGAGGCGGTTCGAAGCTCCAGCCGCTGAAAACAGCCAAATGGATAATTCTGAAATCATTGAGATGCTAGATGAAAGCTTAATTCTGAAGTTTGAGGAAGAAGTGGACCAACTCGCAGCCGCACTAGCTGTAACATCGAAAGCGGTGAGTGAGAGGCGTCTTGGTGTTATTTTCGTATTTTCTATTGTGGGTGTTCAATCGAATTTATGTTTAGGCTGCAGTAGACAAAACTTTTAGTTCTGATGAAAATTATTATCTATGGGGTATAGGTATCCGAGAAGATGCAGGCTGCAAGTCGAGTTCTGAAGGATTTTCAGGTTGGTCATGACACGGTTCATGCTCCTTGTTATGCCTCACATTATTAAATCTATGTCTCTTCAAGTTCCTTGACGTGATATAAGAACACTACATTGTTTTGCTTTCTCCACGATGACGTTCTCTTAAAATGATTTTTGTTCCTGCAGAAACATGTTGAGTCCAATAACGATGCTCATACTTTGTCGCAAACTAGTCCCCAAGGATGGAAGGAGTCAGATTTTTCACTGACGTTCTCGCACTTGTCTGAAAATATGTCGGTGGAACAGGTACAACGCTTTGAATTGTATATTTTTGGTGGCTCAATAACAGTTTTATCTCTTTCCGTGCTGCACGAGGATGGTTACTAATATGTCTTAAACTTGATGATTTGTTAGAGACAAGAGCTAAGACATGAATTAGATCTAGTTGCGAAGCAACAAGATGTGGAGAGGGAGATGAAAGAGCTCGCCAAGCATCAGGCCAAACTTACAGAGCTCAAGTCTGTTGTGGCCAAGGTTATTGTCAGATCGAACGCTGGAAACCCTGAGGTTAATTCCTCCGTATTAAGCATTGAGCAGAAACTTGCTGTTCAGGTGTGAGGACGATCTTCATAATCTATACTTTGAAACATCGAATAGTAATTCACTATGCTGATGCTTCCTGTACTGAGAAGCATTAAACCTTTTCCTTTTTAATGATTGTGTTCCTGATTATAAAACATTCGACTCTTTTGAATATTATTTTCTAATAACATCAATGCCCGATAATGCAGGATGTGATAGCTAAGGAGACTTCTTCAATCGTTCAGCAACTTTCGACTTCATTCCAGATTTCATCACCACATACTCCATACATCCGGGTATTTATCCTGTTCTCATGTAGAGTTTCTTTCTTCTAATTGTGGACGGCAGTTCCTTCTGGTTGCTAATTGTCATGACTTTTGCAGCATGGGCAGCTCAGCTCTTCCTTGTTCTTTTTGAAAGTTTTCATGATTAAATAACGTGCAGGATGTGTGGACAACTGTTAAGGAGACATCCGGGACTCATAGCCTAAATGCCACGCACAAGAAGCGTTCGACGGCTCGCGACTCCTTAGACCAGGATTCAAGGTATTAACTCAATCAACCTCAAATTCTAGTTGAACAGCGTTTCTTGATTGTCAGCTGCTTTTGTTTGTTGTGTGTATGTTCCCTCATTTGCAAACGGAATGGGATGTATTCAGGAACACTTTACAAACGCTAACTGGAACGAGTTCGTCACAATTTTTGGAACAAGGCTCTTCCTCAGCTTTACGATATCTGAGTCCAAATAAGAGTAACGCAGTGAGGACTTTTTCTCCTATGAAGCTTCTTGAGAAGTCCTATGAATTCCAACTTGGAGCTTCAGATGGACCAGTTTCTACTTCTAGATCACGAAGAGGTGGGCCATTTGGAACCTCGAGGACTTTATTCCGGAAACCTGTTAAGCATCACGAAAATGCTGTGGGATCCAAACGACAATCAAATTGTGTGGGCGAGCACTCGTTGCAGAATCTACACAGACCAGACTCAGAAGCTACGAGCGGATTTTCGTTTGGTCTGTCTGGCATGGGTCAGCCTCTGGATACTGTAGACATTTCAGGAAACTACTGTAATTCAGAGACTGCAGAATCTAGTGTGCAACGACTTGAGGCAATAGTAGAGACATCTCAAGCTTATGACCAAGGCGACCGTATGAGCAGCCCTGAGCCTGAACCTCAATCTCAAGCCCACATCTTTAGTGAGCAGCGTTTTTCTACTTACAATTCTTCGGAGCCTATTGTGAACCCAACCTTTTTTAAAAGGTATAGATTCAACTGTGACTCCGAGGCGTCTCCTTCTATTAACTCCATGCCTTTTACAACCGAGGACATCAACAGATATTCTCCATCACGACGTTTTGGGAGTCCCCAGTCGCCTTGTTTTGGTGATCTTCTTAATGGGGATACAAAAACACCATTATTCGGATCAACTTTGTCACCCCTTTCAGTGTCATCAAATTCGCGCCTGGACAGAAGCGCTACTGAGATGAGAAAGATTTCCTTCAACTCGGAGAGGGAGAGGCAAGAGGCCCGCTGGTCTGTTGATGAAGATACAGTCCAAATAAAAAGATCTACCGAAGAAAATGGTGCATCTGACAGAGCTCACAGGGGCAGTACTGATTGGTCACCAATTCAAGGTACGACTTCTGCCTGCCCAAGTCCTGTTGGCGTGTCGCCCTTCGCGGCAAGGATGGCCTATTTGGACGTGAGGCAGCCAGAATGTGAATAGCTTAAGGTGATATTTTTTGTCTGTATCTCGGCTAAGTTAAAATGAGAATGAACTAGGTTAACTTTGTGCCCGAAAGCTCAAGAATAACGAGTGCAGCTGTATTATTGAGTGGTTTTGGTGCAATTAGGATTCCCCTCCGGTCAACAGGGGATCTTCACTCAATCGGCAGCGACATTTTGTGGGGCGGTTCATGTTAGCTGTTGTCAGCTGACGCCATTTGAAAGGTGATCACTTGGTCACATGAGTTAGGTGTAAATTGATGCACATGATGCATAACGGCACCGGAGTCATGTCTATGATTCTGTGTCGGTAGGTTGCTACGAGTACCTGCTGGTGGCTTCTCATACCAGCACTCGCTTGTTGCCTGAAGAGTCCCTTTGGCATGCTTACATGTTGGTGAACCAGATCTCCTGGTTCTCTTAACAAATACCATCCTCTTTCTTATAAGCGTTGATGAACGTTGTACCTTTAGTTTGTTTTTGGAAATTGTGATTCCCATAGCAGTGGTTGCTTCGGTCTAAGGTTCGTCAAACATGTTTGAGGAGCACTTAGCATCTTTGGTTGGTGCATCTGGTTGTGGTTTTTTTGTTAAAAATGATTAATTCTGAATTGTGTGACATATCGTGAAAAAAGGTTTTGGTAATCTTTGAATTTTTTTAATACTAAACGAGTCATGACAAATAATCAAGGAATCTTTTTTTTAATAATTTATGACTCTGTTTGTGTAGGTATGTGTTTGTGCTTATATATATATATATATATATATATATATTACTCAGTGAGTTAAACCTCTCTATCTGTGTGTATACATTTAGCAGTAAAATCTTATATTTAGTAAAAGTATAACTGAGTAAAACTTCTGTGGTTATGGATTTGTAATAAAAGTGACTTTTTGTATACTTGAGATTATATTATTGTGATGATCGGAGGAGTTTCTTTTTCTTTCTGTTAAAAGCATATATATATATATATATACATATATATACATACATACATACATACATATGGCAATGGCATCACTATGTTTGTGATTGTAAAATTGTTTTTTTCTTTTATTTATTTATTTATATATAATTTAGTTTTTTGAAGATTTTTAACTGTTATAAAATTTCAGTAATAAGTTTTAAACTGCAGAAGCACCAGAAAAAGAACCTCTAAAAAATAAAAATAAAAGAAAGAAAGAAAAGAGTCTTGAATATGAAATTGTTCAATTTTAAAGTCCATGAAATTATATTTCTATGGAGGTTATACTTTAATGATTTTCATATTTCTGTATTTAATATTTTTGCTTTGTTTTGGAAAATATTGAGTGATGTAAGGTTTTTCATATATATATATATATATATATATATATATGCACACAAAAAGTTATGACATGATTTATTTCAATATTAAATGATTACAATTTTATAAAATCTTCAAGTTTTATTATTAATTTTAAAATATTTTAATTATTTTTTTGATTTTTTTCTACTTAATACAGATTAAATTTTGGCAAGTTTTCTTATCATTTATAATTTCTTTTGTAGAGAAGTGGCTGGAGGGGCAAGATTGATTGTGTAATCTCTCTTAGTAAGGAAAGTAAGAGAATTATTCCTTACAAATTTTCTTTAATTATTCATCTATCAATTAAATTTAAAAAAACTATTCACATGATTTTATTTTATTTTATAGTTATATAGACCATTTTAAATATTTTTAAAAGAATTAAAGTAATAGCTCCTTTGTTTGCTTCTCTCTCTCTCTCTCTCTCTCTCTCTCTCTCTCTCTATATATATATATATATATATATATATATATATATTGGAACTATTTGAACTTTGTTTAATTGTAGAAGAAGTAAAATATAGGCCACTTATATTATTTATGCTAGAAAGTAGGAGAGCAAGGAGCCTACCTTACTTGTATTGAGTGGAATGGTTGAAATGCGATAGGAATACGAGCGGAATACTGTACAATATAGAATAAGAATACTGTACATGATCCAAACGGGTGCAGTTTAGGGGGATATCAACCACGGGAGAATCCCATCGTCCGGGTATCGAGCAGGCGGAGCTTGAGCCGGGTGTGACAAAAGCCTCGGCCTTCGCAACGGGGCAGCTGAGAAAGTCAGCAGTGTCGTTCGAGCGGCTGGAGCTGATGATATTCTACAGCTCCGGATCCTTTGTTGTTCGACTGGAAGAGTACTGTTGTTGTTGTGCTATGGAACCAGTGCTCAAGGATGGTTGGAGCTCCGAGGGTGTAGTGCGGTAGTTTTTTTCTGGATTGTGGCACGGAGGTCGAGGCTGAGTGGTTTCTAGCAACGGCATTTCGAGGTTCTCCCTCCCTATTCCTGTTTTGTTGGTTGAGTAGCGAGCTCCAGTCATTTCCTGGTTAGACCCTGTGGTGGTGAGCTGCTGGAGCGTCCGTCATCAAAGATGCCTTGTCCCCCTTCTCTTCCGTTGCATTACGGCGGCAAGGTTGAACATTGGATAGGAATCGGATTGCTGTGGTCAACGTCCCTGAAGCTTCACTTAGAGAAGTTATGGCTGCATCGGTGGTGGCGGATCTGGAGCTTGGCTCTCCTAGCACGTGAGCTGGTTGCCCTTGCGTCTCTGGATCCTTGTTCGTTTTTTTCCTTTGATCTTTGCGTTTTGCCAATTCCGGTGCTCAAACTGTATTGCTACTGTTCCTTTTGATGATGCTTTGTTTCCGTAGTTTGCTTGAGTGGTGCGGAGTGTGACGGCCAGGCTTGTTGCTAGAGCGTTCGACGTTCCGTATTCTCTCTCCATTCTCCTTGACGGTGATCTTGGGGTGGCGGTGTTGTCATTCTAAACAGCTTGCGTTTTGCTCGTGGGAGCCACCTGCTCCTAGCTCTCTTAATTGGCTGTCTCCACCTCCACCGTTACCTTGAACAACGTCTGGTTCTGATTTGATGCGGTTGGAGTGAAGTGGAGCATCGACAAGTTGTGTTCCCTCATTCCTTTAAGCAACTAGTCGTGATCCGGTGCTTCTACAACAAGACTCATTCGACTGCTGTGGGGTTGTGGCTACAAAGTTCAGCCGAAACACTAGAACGATGGATCGACATCAGCATTGTCAAATTCGTGTGGACAACCCTAGTATTTAGATCTTGGTATCGTAATCAGCAACCTAATTGACTTAGCCAAGTAGCCAGGATAGCGGAATTTAGTAGTTGGAACGTAGAGTTAATTTGAATTGTGTAAGGAAGCAGTGACTTCCAGTGGCAGTGCTCTACGTGAATGGAAAGAGTGGACAACTGAGGGACAACAACGGTGAAGGCGTTGGCGTCGTGGGAGGGATTCCCAGGAAGCAATTGGACTCAGTCGCAAACATCGTTGAGTGCGATAGCGGCGTGAAGATATGAGCTGGACAACACCTCAAGCTCACCTTTTAGCATCCAGAAGGTGATAGCCTTGTATGGGATGGAGTTCTTAGATTTGAATAAACCCAGAATATGATGAAATTTAAACATAATTGACGTTTACAATGGATGATAACTGAGATCTTGGGTCGGATGAGATTATGGTTTGAGTTGGATGACTTTTAAGATTTAGATATACAATTGACGAATGAGCAATTGTTGATAGTGGATGAATTCTCATTCATGGATGAGAAGTCATTTATGGATGAAAACTCATTTGCAGATGAAAATTTGTCATTGGATGAATTTTTAGTTTTGGATGATAATTAAAACTTGATAAAAAATAAAATAAAAATTTATCAAAAATAAAATAACCTCATATAAAATTCAGCTAATTAAAGACTTCATTTTTTATTTTTTATTTTTTGTTGTTGTAAGAATTAAGAAGAAATTTTATTTAATCACTTCATAAATGAATTAGTAGTTGCAAATTAGAATAAATCACCTCCTAGGGGTTTATTTAGCTCACAATTGAAAAGTTATTGGAATTATTGAATACAAATCAATCATTAATTGGGACTTATTAGAGTATTTAGACAATTAAATTGTTGTGAATTGGAATAGGCTTCTAACTAATAGGGATTTATTTTAATTCACATTTTGATATATTTGCCAAAAGTGAGGCAATTCTAACAACTTAAAAGGCAAGTAGAATTAATCATCTCCTCTATTCCTTATACCATCTCTTTGCATTCTTGTGAGTTCCAATTGAGGACCATTCTCTAGTCATAGGAGGATTTAATCACCCCCTCCACCCCTTGTATCCCTTCTCTTCACAAGTGTAATATAGAAAAAGAGCTTCAACTAGAGGATCAAGATGATTCTTTATCGACAAGAAAAAAATAAAAATAAGAGAAAAAAATTATATTAGAAAATTTAGTAAAAAAATAGAAAAGAAGAAATGAAGAAAAAGAAGAAAATACATTTGGCAATTTGAACTAGTAGTCACTTGATTTGTAAGAATCTTTTTCACAAATACTACCCTCACTCATTTCTTTATCGAAGGATCTACTAATGAAGGAATAATTAAAGAGAACTTCAAGGAAAGATTGAAAAATTTAAAAGATACAAAAAAAAAATAGTCTCGATTATTGAAGATATTGATAAATAATAAGAAAAGATGTGGAAAAATGAAGACCATAGGATTTCCAATTTTATCCTAATTTATGTCAAAATATAAGCAATTTTTAAGAACATTTATATGAAGTTGTAGGAAACCAATTCCAATCTATCAACCATGATCTAGCACCTTTAGAGATTAGATTACTGCCTAACTTCCTATCATAGACATACATATTTATTCCAATTAATAAGGTTGCAGATTATCTACCTTCAAACAAATAGTTTAGTTTTTTTAACATTGAATTTTTCCTTAACGAGAGCAGATTATCCGTCTTTGTGAAAATTTTTATTTGACATTATAGGTTGCAGCTTATCTTCTTCTAATTTGACTTGTAGATTTATTAAGTTATTTGAAATAGAAGAAAAAATCATAGATGCTATATTTGACAAATGTAAGAATAGATTTGTAACTATTGCAGATCTTCACAAATTTGTGAACACTCTTAAGGTGGAAATTTCATAGATCACCAATGCCAACCATGGAAATACTATTCCTATACATATGAAAGAAGTCTAGAGTCTAAATTAAAAATTTGTATAGTTTAGGTTACTAAGTAGATTGACCTTCCAACTAAATCCAAAAAGTCTTGCTTCTATAAGTGCAATAGGAACAAGAATTAGTGTGCCCAAGAAGTTTGATGGAATAAGATCAAAATTTCAAGGATTTCTACAACAATTCAAGCTTTATCTAAGATTGCATTCTTTTCAATATCCTCATAGATTTACTCAAGTTATAATCATAGGTGTACTTTTATCTAGAAGTGCTTTCTCTTGATTTGCATCTTTGATAGAAAAGGATTCATGACTCCTTTATAATTAGTTCATTGAGCTTAATTCAAGCTACAAATTTCAAATTATCAAAGTCATTAAATAAAATTTTGAAAAAATAAGAACCAAATCAAAGAAAAAAAGTTGGCCGCTTATTGTTGTTACTTCCTTCAAAACCTTCGTCTACAAATTAGCTTTGATCTCCCTTATCACAACTCTTCTTCTTGTATGCTAAAGCTTATTGGAAAGCTAACAACAAGATTTAGCTTCTTTCAAAATTTCAAAACAAAAAAATAAAAAATGTAAGAAATAGCATAGAAAACCTCAAATTAGTTTTGAATCTTATTGCCCAAAAATTCCCACAATCTTCTACCTACACACTCCTATCCAAGCAAAACATAAAAAATAAAAAAATAAAAAAAAATCAATTTGATGCCAAAATTTATATCCTAATTTTTTCTCAATATCCACCTTGAACCACTATAGAGCCAAATATGTACCTTAAAAGATAATACCTTCAAAGCTTAAACAATCTATTTAAGATAATAATTTCATATTTTAAATTCTATTCAAATTTATAAATATATTAGTATTATATTCCTCTCTTTATAAGTATAACTAATTATTTTCCAAATATATTTGATACACTTAAATTAAATACATCATAAGAATGTGTCATGGAGATTTGTGCTTATATTATGGAGAAGCTAAGCACACTACTCAACATCATCCAAAGAAGCAATGCAATCATAAAATGAGGAGTATAGTTGCTAAAGAAGATAATGTGTCAAAAAACAAGTTTCTTGAGATACAATATGAATTGTGCGGCTAGAATCATGTACAACATCCAATAAAGTTCTTATTCTCTCTTCAAATGTTTTACCTTGTTTTACAATAGATATGTATTTAGGACCTAAAAATTACAAAGTCTTTACATTTTTAGATTCAAGAGCCTCAGCTTGTTTTATAGACAAAGACTTTGTCAAAAAATAAGAAATATCTTTAATCAAAAAAATCAAATCTATATATTTAGAAGTCATAGATGATTATTTTTTGTCTTTTGGAGATGTTATCTATGAAATTATTCCTATAGATGTAGCAATTAAAGATCATATTAGTATAGTAATATTTAATATCATAAGATTTCCTTTTAATCTTATTATTTTAAGATTATTAGGATTAAAAAAATATAATTCTCATATAGATTTTATTTCTTGTAACCTTGATTTTTCTTATAATTTAATCTAAAATTTTATTGGCCAAGTAAAAATACATAAGTTTAGTACATCCAAATCTTTACTAATAAGTGCAAAAACTTTCATGCATGTGACAAAAAAAGGGCCATTTTTTGCTATATATGCTATGTCCATTTTTGATAGTAGAAAGATGCCAAGTAGTATTTTTAATCAATATCAAGATTTCTAAGGTATTTTTTAAAAGAAGAATGTAGATATTCTTTCAAAGCATTTATGATTGTTTAATTGATCTATAAGAAAGAGCTCAACCACCATTCGGACTGATCTACAACTTATTATAGAATGAATTGATTGCACTAAATGAGTATATTAACAATAACTTCATATGCCATTTAAAATCTCTAATAGAAGCTCCTATCTTATTTGTGAAGAAAAAATATGGATCTTTGTGGATATACATAAGCTATTAAGAACTTAAACAAAATCACTATTAAAAATAGGTATTCCCTACATTTGATTTTAAGATTTCTTGACCAACTCAATTAAGCAAAGATCTATACAAAAATAGATCTACAAAGAACATACAATCTATTTTAGCATTGCAATATGCACCAGCCAATTATTGTCACAAATAGAAGTAGATGACAAACTCCATTTAGTAGCTTTATATTTGAAGAAAATTCAGCAACAGAGATCAACTACAAAATCTATAATAAAGAGCTTTTTACAATTGTGAATTCTTTTTAAGAATAGCATCACTATTAAGAAGACGCTTTAAGTTTAGTCATTGTGTATATAGATTACAAGAACCTCAAGTATTTCATGTCAACATGGATGTTGAATTGTTATTAGACTCATTAGAGTATATCATTATCAAGATTTGATTTTAAAATCACATATTAACTTAGAAAACAACAAAGTTTGTTAGACACTCTTTTTAGATGTTCTTGTCTTGTATCAAAAGAAGGAAATATAACTTTTAATCAATAGAAAATAGTAATCTTGTAGTCTCAAAAAATTTATCTTCAAGCAATAAAATCAACATTGTTTATTAATTCAACCTTTCTTAAGAAAATTCAATCAAATATGTCTTCTAATTTCTTGTTTAAGATATCAAGAATACTTCTTTTAAGTCTCAAGATACTTCTAAGTTTAAGTTCAAGAAAAACCTACTTTATTTCAAAGGTCACATATATGTTCCAAAAAGAAAAGCATGTTTATATGTTCTTCAAGCACATCATGAATTTTTAGTAGTATTATATTATATATATTCTTGCTTAAAAATGAATCAAGCACTTAATTATGGAAGGTAAATAGAAATATAATAATAATCCTATCAAGTCTATTAGAAACTTAAATAAGCTTTAAGTAATCTTTAATAAACTTAATCCAATTTTAATCAATCCAAAATAAATTTTAAAAAAGTTATAAAAAATACAAAAAATTCATAAATTAATCTAAAAAAAATAGCAAAAAAATTCTAAAGAAATATAAAAATATATCTTAAAAAAATGAGATGACCTTAAAGAAATATTAAAAATAAAAATTTCAACTAAATTCTAAATAAATCCTAATTTAATCTTAATTCAATTTTAATTGAACTTCTAATGAACCTTAATTAAATATTAGATCAGAATCTAATTAAATCCTAATTAAAATCCTAATGAATCTTAATCAAATTTTAAATCAAATCCTAATTAAATTCTAATTGAAATCTTGATTGAAATCTTAATGAATCTTAATTAAATCCTAAGTCAAATCTTAATTAAAACTTAATGAAATCTTAAATTTTAATTAAATTTTAATCAAATCCTAAATCATAATTAGACTTGATGAAATTTTAGAAAAATCTTAAATCTTAACAAAATCTTAAACCTTAGACCAATCCTAATCAATCTTTAATCAAATCCTAAATCTTAAACAAACTATTAATAAATCTTATATTAGATTACAAATCAATAAGTAAAGATTGAATTCTTGATTTTGATTCAAAA